GAATGTTACCAGTCTCAGAGATGTTGAAGACTTGTTACAAGTAGCTGAAATACAGAAAATGGTTGGTTTCTAAGATATAAATGTTTATTGTCTTTGTTAATTTTTTCATTCTTTCATTTTTTAATTAGATATTGGATTTATTGTTGTCTAGTCAAATTGATGGAAAATCTGATATCATCGATAAGCTAAATAGCTTTCTGTTTACATTGAGTGAAGTATGTATTTAAAAATTATGAAGATAATGTTTATATAGAATAATAATATTATGTATGCATAGCTTTACAGTGATTTTGCTGAACCGTATAGTTTATGGGAAGCTCAGTTGGCAATACTACAACTTTCCAATCATGATGATCGTKAACTAGTGAATCAGATTTGGGAAAATATTTTACTAAAGGGCAAGTACTCAATAACTAAAACAAAACTACTAAATTGTATTAAAACCTTAGTTTTTATTAGTTTTATATTAAAAACTTAGACTAACTGACTATATGTTTTAATAACTAATAAGTGTAATAAGCTAATAATAACTATTTTAATTTGATAATGAGGGTATTTATGAAATTATTAATAGTAATTTCTTCCCTTTAAAGTTGATTGTAATCATAAATTTAAYTATTCCTCGAGGTATAATAAATATTACACTGTAATATAAAAAAAAATTAAGTACATATTTCTAATGAATAAATTGATAGTCAATTAAAAAATAACTAAATTATTATAATATTGTGTCTTGATGTGTTTACTGATATACAACTGAAAGAAGAATGAAGCCCTGGGAATAATAACAAATCAACAAATATAGATTTTTTTGAATTCATTGTACTTTTATTATCTTAATAAATAAATTTCAAATTACATCTCTATCACACAAAATACAAATCAAAAAAACACCATCAGTCTTTTAGTGCTATTGAGTGTACAATATTTTTAGTGAGGCCATCTCTAGCTAACACAAACAAACTGGATGGTTTACACACACGAGAACATGCCACTTATAATTTTCTGTGTACAAAACATGGTGTGTCCAAATCTAAGCCACAAACAGACATTGATTGGTCTTGAGAATTATTGATTGTCATTGCGAATGCCAAACAAATTGGAAATTGAACTGTTTGAAATTTGAATTTAATTGGGACAACTGTGGTGATAATAGAGATTTGTAGTAGTAATACATATTGTTCTATATTTTTAATGATACTAGCAAATAGAATATATTCAAATTAAAAAAAAAAAAAAGTAATAAATAAGAATTATTCTCAAATCCTATAACTCAATAACTCATAGCAACTATTAATAAACAAAAATTTCTATAAAACTCTAAATTTCTGTTTGAGCACCTCCCACGGTTTTGAGATTAGTCTAATACATATTCTCAGACACACCAAATATACACAGATAATTTGATGAAAATCGATCAAGCTGTTTTTGGATGATTTATTGGATTGAATAGCTGACTCTGTTACACAACATTTTTGTATATTGGATTATATATAAATGTGTAATCTGTACATCATATTATGCAGTACATAAAACATCAATGACAATAATATTGATACTTAAGAGTTATATATTGATTGTTTATTTCATCTATAGTCTGAGCCATTTTACGGCGGTTATTTACGTTTATTTTAGAAATAATAATTTCATATTTTTATTTATTAGTTGTGGAAGATTGCGGAGATATTGATGAACACAATAAAATGACCATTGCTTTGGAAAAAATAAAGTCATTAGCTAGTTCACATCCAATAAATTCGTCTACGTTTGACTTGGGTATGTAATACAATTGTTGGTTTCTCATTTTGAAAATTTACAAATAATATAATACTAATTGCTTTATACTATTTCTTTTTCGAATTGTAGAATATGTAACAACTATGTTGGAATATTTGAATTGTAACTTGGGTGGAGATTTGGAATCTGTATATACAACTATGTTAACTATTGGTGCTCCTATTGAATCATTAGTGGCAATATATAAAAAGTAATATCTTATACCTAATCATAGTTACATCAATTAATTATTATAATTTAAAATCATTATATTTATTTATTTTTCTTTCAGGATTTATTCTACCAATGATCCACGGTGGCAAAAGACAAGTAGTGAGCTGCATGTATTGGAAGTTATCATGAGTTTAGCTCGGTATTATTTACAAAATGTTGATCTATGGCCATCAGGGATGCAAAGGTAATAGCTGTTATGCAATTTTCATTTATAAAAGAAAATAATTTTTTTATTTTATAATTATTGAAAATTTTCAGGAGATCTATTGCTGTGAACTTATTAGATTTGTTGGTAATTTGTCAAAATATGTTGTACAGCCGTTTTGCTCATAGTCCACTGATTGAAGGTGTCATTGCAATCAAAAATGAACTTGACAAAATCATTAAAAACTGACTTTTCAAAAACTTGATTTTTCAACATTATTCGCGTGTCAATTATTTATACATCGCAACTACTATATTTATTTCAAAAAGTTAACCTCGATCTAAATGAATCTTAAACTTTTCTTGGAATCTATAAGTATTTTATTTGTAAAATATTTTGTATGTTGCTCATATAATAAAATGCATTACCTTTTGAGGTAAAATTGTCTTCTTTGTTCAATGAATATAAATATATATTAAGTATTGAATCATTTGAAATAGTTGTTATTAATGGGGGTTAAATGTAAAAAATGCTTGTACTATTGGAATGGTAAGAATTTGTTTGAAATTATTTATTTTATTACATTATTATTATATAAGATTACCTAACGGGAATAATAAGTACCTAATATATAATTATAATATACGTTATGGTAATAATAATGTTGATATAATTGATTACAAAAGTAAAAATACTGAAATTTAGATATTGAGCCATTTAATAGATGTTATTACTAGGGTCTGGATGTTTATGACTAGGGCCGAGGACTTGAAGTATTTGCATATTTATTTTGCACGGTCACAAAAATAGCAAAGTGCGATACAAATAACTTTCATGCTTTCACAAAGCTAGTTTTGAAATTTTATTGTGCATAATAATGTATATTTTGCATTTTTTTGGTTTTTTAAGTCATATTTAACACTTTTATACGCTATTTTATACTTTTTAAGACTTATTTAACTTAAATCAATTTTTCCCACTGTGACATTTCTATTTCAAAAAATACAGTCAAAATGTTTGGTTAAAAATTTATTTATTTTTAATTTTCATCGTATAATATGGTTTTTGACTGAMCAGGCACTCATTCACTATACCTACAACACCACCACCATGCAGGCTTTTATTCAATTAGGATTTATTCATAAAACGTTTCTAGACATGACAATAATCAATATTTTAATATTTAGTCTCAGTCAGTTCTGCAGAATGTACATTTGTGTTTAAAAAAATGTTAAGTGCATATTATTGGGTTTTAAGTGCATAAGTGCACGCATATTTAAATTTTTTTAGAGCTACAAGTCCTCTGCCTTATTTATAACTAATACATTTTTTTTTTTTTTTAGAACGCCATAGATGATGCTTTCTAAGCTTAACAAGAAGTGTTTCAACAAACAAATCTGTAGCTCATATTTATTTTGAATTTTTTCGTATGTAGGCCATTAAAAAAGTATTTGATCTTTTTTACATTAATTAATAATTGAGAGAAAAATATTTACAAATAAATAGTTTGTCATTATATTTTTCAGAATTTACAGGTATGAAAATTACCATAAAACTAGGATTTTTAGGGCATCGACATCCAGGTACTAGTTATGTCCATAGGAAGTGTGCTTGACTTCTGAAGAAAAATGAAAGTACACAGTACACTATAGTTAATGCTCTGGCAGGATTATTTGATGCAGCTATGGAGCCATCAATAACTTTAAAATTAGGAAAAAACTAATGTCGGCTGCATGATGACATGAGAAAATATTTTTAGAAAATAATCTGAGTGTAAAAAAACATGATTTTATTCACGCACTTTCTGCACAAGGCTTAATTCATCCTTAGCAAGCTAAGGATGCCAAACTGCCACACAGTTAGTATTTTGGTATGGTTGTATTGAGCAAACCAACACAAATTAAAGAGTACTAAGATAAGCTGAGGAGCTGAATATCTACATTTCTCGCAACACACTATGAAACCGAGAGGAATAGACTTATAAACACTCAGTTATATGTTTTAATATTTGTATGGTAATCAAAATTGAAGTTGGCGATAAAATATAGATCTTTGATTAATATCTGTGACAAATTTGTCTCTGAAATGGTCCAATTTACTTTTATAAACTTAATTGAAAGTATAACTATAGAATAATATAAAAATTTAAAAGCTATACAATTTTAATATGTCTAGCCACGTTTTGTTTACAATGAATTCTTTATTAATTATGCAACAGGTTTATTAGTTTATYATAATGTTATGAATTCTATAGGACTAAATCAATGTATTAAAAATGGCAAAATTTTTTTTTTAATTTTAGATTCTGAAAGGAACGACTGTAATAATTCATAGTAGTTTTAAAAAGCACCGGAAAAATCAAAATCAAAATAATAAAAAACGCGAATTTCTATGCAAAATTAGTTTTCAATAAAATTGATTTCTATTTTAGGTTTTTAGTTTATGTTCTACTATCATGACATTCATGACAAATTGACAAAATATACTTATCATCATCATAGATACTATCTTTAATATCTATGCTTGTCACCACAGACATCTATATTACCAMCACAGCTATAGATATATATCTGTGATTACCACAGAACAATAATATAGATATATCATAGACATATAAATATTATATGTTATATTTATCTGTCTATGAGATATATTCTGTGCTTGTCACATTGAACTCTATATGATATCATATAGAATTCAATGGCTTGTCACATAGAGTAATTACTCTATGGGCTATACCGTGATAATGTGATAACTGATAATACGAATATTACGAATAACGATCAATGAATGATAATTTAATTTTGTATTCATATTAATTCATAATGACAAGATAATTGATACATTTTGCGATTTTGTCATGGTACCTATCCATAATAAATTAAGACCTTAATTAACTTTAATTGCGCTATTCAGTATTCACTTCTTACGTAATTAACATAATAAAAAATTACAGCAATTGCATAAGATAATAATGATTTAAATATTTAATTATCTATGAGTAATTTGTATTTACAAATAACACATTAATGCAGTATTACAGGAACGACTGATGGTTTTTTACTTCTGATTTTTTTTCGAAAATACATGATTACAATTAAAATATTCTAATAACTAATTTAAGTTATTAAATATTATTGTTCTGTGTTACCTATTAGCTATCCACTACTAAGTATGTACCTACTTTTAACTATTTTTGATTAACATTATTTTGTTTGTTTATTTTGAAATTAAAATATTTATTGATTTAAGTTAAAATGTACATTAAATATTTAAATGTATGCACTACTTTAAGTGTAATCATATTTTTACTATTTTTTTATTGAAATGAATTTACTTCCATTGTAACTCATTTTAAATTAGTTATTATTTTATTTTTAATAGGCATACAACTTTTTCAGTTATGGATATTTTATATCCATGTAGTATGTGTCCAAAGACTTTCACATTAAGAAAACATATTTTAAAACATATAAAAACTGTTCATGAATCTAATGTTCCTTCAATGTGTTATGATGATTCGAAAAGCTTATTAAACTGTTCACAATGTCATAAACAGTTCAATAGTCAAAATTTGTTGAATAAACATATAAATTTAAATCACAATATTTCAATATCAAATTTGAACGAGAACACTTCAAGGCCATTGGAGAAAAGAGTTTCTCAAAAACTCAATGCTTATTCATCATTAAAAGTAAGTAACATAATAATGTACTTAAACTGTATTATTTCAGTGCCTTGTGGCTACAGGCCACAGGGGCATTTTTCTCTCATTTATAATTCTCCCCAGCCCAAAGAAGTTTTTTAGCATAATTCAAATTTTATTCTGCTTTGCTTTTGAATTTTAATGGTCTTAAAATTTAAAGTTTGGTAATTAACTATTCTTTCCCATCAAATATATTTTTTCAGGTACATACTTATAAACATTTTTAGACATTGAATTAACTTCATAACATTTAAGATAATTGATGCTTTTTGATTTGAATATCGTTTCGCAAAAATAATTTTATATTTACTTTAGGATTGCTTGCCAGTTAATTATTCTTATAAAATATTGGCATTCAAAGATTTATCGTTCGGACAGTTCAAAGCAAAATTTCATATTGTTAACATTGACAAAGAATCATTTTTAGATTGGTTGAATAGTTTATGTCATAAAACAAAAGTTAATTATATAACTGAAAATGTATCATCTATTTCTTTAAAAAATATCTATCGAGTAAGTAAAGTTAACTCATACATTTATCATAACATAATAGTATGTAAATAGTAGTATAAATATATTATTTCTATGATCTTAGATAGTATATAAATGCAAAAACATTGACTATTGGAATGTTAAGTCTAATAGTATGCTGCAGAATCCGACTAGTTGTAAAGCGAGTCTAACAGTTATGATTAAACCTTTGAATAATGAGTTGTAAGTATAATTGTGATTGGAGTAGAAAGTACAATTACATTTTTAAAACGTGAGATTTGTTGTTTACAGACCTCATAAATCAAAAGCTGTCATATTAATGAAACATTGTCATTGTCATCCCATGAATTGTTTAACATCAATGAATTTATCCCATGAAATATATGATGTTTATAATCAAATTATATTTTTATTAAAAAATGGTAAATCAGCTGCTGGTGCACTGCATGAATATACAATTAAAACTATACAAAATAAAGGTAAAAATCATTATTTGAAATTAATGGATTCAGGAGTCAAACCAGATGTAGAATTTGTGTATGAGTTGTACTACAGGCACATGAGAAAATCTAGATTTTCATCACCATATGTTAAACGTGTAGAATCATTAATGAAATCTATAAAATATTATAATGCTAGTATAGGAACAAAGTGCGCCCTTATTCAATTAATAAAAAATAATATCGTCATTACTATTCGAACCCCGCTAATGGGAACAATTAATACTGATACAGTATATGTGTGCTCAACTAGTTTTGATATTTGTAAAACATGGTTCATGTTTAGTAAAAATGATAGAAAGATAATGATTCCTATAGGAGTAATTATCTCCACTGAAGATAAAGACTGTCTGTTAAATGCGGGCTTATGTTCTTGGGAAAAATTAGGGGGTACGTTCAAAACTATTGTAGTAGATTTAGTGTATATTCATACATTCAAAACAGTTTTTCCTAAAGCTACTGTATGTGTTTCTAAATTTCATTTTTTGCTGACTGTATGGAAATGGCTTATTAGTATCACAAATAAAAATAATTTGATTGAAGAATTAAATTGCTTTGTTGAATTTAAAAAAATAGTATGTTCTACAAGTTTTATTGCTGACCATTTGATAGATACAAACTTTGATATTTTTGTAGAAAAATATCCAAATTTCAAGCAATTTATGCAAAATATTGATAAAAATATTTTATTTTGTTCACCCATGGCGTCTCATCCATGCTTTACAATTTCTGAACGGAAGCTTATTTATTATCATACTAAATCACTTTCGATTTTGCAAACATTTCATTTTGTTATTGATGAAATTGACTTCTTCTATAACAATTTGCCTATACATAATCCAAATAATGATCAGCAAATTATTTTAAATTATTTCAAAGAAATGTACAGAGATAAGAATTGTTTTACTTACTGTAGTATAGATGACGATCATTCTATGTACTTAGTAGAAAATGATAATGCTGATGAATTTTTTGTTGATATGGATATTGGAGTATGTTCTTGCACTGTAAATAATGTATGTTCTCCGTGTGTCCATCAAGTGTTTTTAAGTGAACGTTTAAATGAAAAAGCTAATAACTGTTCAGCACATAGTACTTGTGTATTAAATACATCTAATTATGATACAGAAGAACTAAATATTGAAAACAAAGAATTTGAAAATATTTTATCTGAATTTCAATCAGTTCATAATAAAATAAAAGAACAGTTTATGATTGATCCAGAGTATTTTAAAGTTGGCATTCAGAGGTTTGTTTCAACTTGGAAAAACAATCTAATATCAGATAAATCTTTATTTTTAGCCTGTCATTCTTTAAACAATCTTCACCATTCAAATTTAAACAAAGATGATTTATACAACCATGATTCATAAATCGTAGATTATTTTAGAGTTGTAATTATTAAAATTACAAAACTTAATTAACCACTTCCATTTGTGCCTGATAATTATTATAGATATTAGAAACTATTAGTTGTAAGTTGTAGAGAATATATTTTGTTAAAATCTTCTTCGTATGATGTAAATATTATAACATTATGACCTACATATTACTCAAAATGATTATGATGCTATAAATTGTTCTACATAGTTTTTAATTGTATTTTTTTTTWAATAATTTGTTGTGATTAAAAAAAGTGTTTCTTAGAATTGTTTGATGTTTATTGGAAGAACTAAAAAACTTTTTTAACTTACAATAAATGAATAATGGATTGACTTTATTCATGTTTGGTGACAAATGTGTAATATCTTTCAAATAATCTATCTATCAACTATTACATATTTTTGTAAAATAATAACCATGAAGAGTATGTATTCCATTGATTTTGATGATGTGTAAAATTATAAGATTTTAAACTAGGTACTTATAATTGTTTGTATTGCGTTATAATAAACATCTCATGATTTATTTGATATCAATCTATATTCTGTCTTGTGAGAGGACACACTCCTGCCTAACAAAAATCCGCATTCCTACGAATCATTCTGTCTAGCTCTAGTGGAACGGGTCTCTATGGTAGGGTTTCATGTGGGGACGCGCAGAATTAGTTAGTTCTCTTGCTGGTTAGAGTATACAAATTAAGGTACCAAAAATATACTATATAATATACAACAATTTTTCAAATTAATTAATTAATGTTGATTCATGGCTTAATTTAATTCTCATTCCATATTATTTTTTGGATATTGTTTACCATAATATTATTCAAAGTTAGTTCATGCAGATTGAATATATTATGCTTAATATAAATTAAATCAAACTAAATTTAAATACATTTATAGTGCCAATGATGACTAGACGAGTGCTAACCTTTGAATGTTTACTGTACTATAGATTTATTCAGCTATTAATATTATTATTAAATTAGCGAATAAAATTTATATTGCGTGATCAATGAAAACACAAGGTACTGAGGCTTAACAATTCTGGGATGAATAAACGAACAAATAAATTGAACTACTGCTAAATCATTAGGGGACAGTTCAGATTTTATTCGGATGATTTAGATTTCACATTAGACAGGTATAATATTTTGCATAAATATAATTTAAATACTTTTCTATGGCTATTAATATTAATAATTATTGTTTATTATAATTTATAAGTAAATATTATATAGTTTTTAAAACAAAATTATTATATTTATGTAATATAGGTATAATATGTTATATGTATGTTTGTTAATATAATAAATTTAATTTCAAAAATTGAAAACTATTATAATACTAATAAGTAGGTAATAATAGGTAATTTGATTATAATTCTATATATGACTAAATATTATACGAATCTTAAAATTTCTGTGTGGTTATACAATAAAATTGTAATTTTTCATGACTTTTGAGGAGAAAATTAACAAATTCATACTTAGAACATAAAAACAAATAAAAAAACTTTTAAAATTATATAATAAAAAAATACATAATAATTAACCTGTTTTATGGTTATTTCTGTATTGGTAACAATTGACCGGTAAAATATATAATATTATAACATAAATCAACACTTGAATAGGAAAAAAAAAAGCGTCAAGTTTATATAATATTATGCTGGAATTTCAAGCATCCGAATAAATGTTTTGTTATGATATTAAGAAGTCTAGAAGATAGTTGATGAGATCAAAAAAACATTTTTTGAGCCTATAGTTTAGGAAATACTAGCAAAGGGTAGAGCTTATATCGTGTATGTGTAACAGGATAAAAGAAATTCAATGTTGGGCCGGTGGTGGAGGCGGAGGTAAGGGTTGAGGTGTCTGTTGCTGGGGCAAAGCTTTCAATATGGCTTGCACTTCTTCTGCCACGGCGGCTAGAACCATTTGGAATTGCGCCTTAGTAGCCACCGCACCTGAACGCTGATCCCGGATGTGCTCCAAAGTAGCAGCTATATCGATCTCCTTCGCTCCTTTCGCCATACGATTAAGCACCATGTCCAATAGGCAATACGAACCAGTACGACTAACACCATCGCTGCGTATTATGACAAAATAGGTTAGGTATAAGTACATAATACTATGTATTGTTCCATTTACACTTTACTTTAAGATTGCGTGAATACTGAATAATATTTACCCAAATATAAATGGAACTTACCTGCAATGCACGACAATAGGACAAGATCTGCCACGGAACGACTTGTTTACTTTCCTGAAAAAAAAAAAAATTCAATAGATTTATTTAGTAATTTAACCTTACGCGACATACGTTATTTATTTCAACGGTTTTTATGTTTTCTATTCGTTTGTACAACATTCTAAAYGAAAAATTACCTTCTCATAGATGCTGTAACATTTCAATCCCCGGATTTACGTCATTAAAAAATAGCGTGTAAAGGGTTAGAGACTATCCATTTTTAATAATAGTGATAATTGCCACTCACATTTGCAGAAACGTCATAAAACTGACGGCCTGTTATAGTGTTATTGACTTATTGTCATTTGTCTTATTGATACTTAGTCATCAGACATCAGAAATCAAGGCAAACTGTAGGATCATTAATTAATCCTGTTTTAATTTTTTTTCATCCGTAATATTATTCATCGTTTTACAAAATTTAATCGTTAAATGAAAAACTTTCAAATTAATTTTTTTTTTGAAAGAAAATTATTAGGTAATTACTAGGTATCAACAAAATTTGATCACAATATCATGACGCGTTCATATACCAAACAAACGTCAATGAATACTCTATCACCCGGACACCTGTTTACACGGTACCTATATGGCCTATGCACTTATTGGCAGCCTATTTTTACACTTTACCATCCAACTACCCGCATAATCATAAATTACCTGCGGAATTCTAGAAGAGCTTTGGTGGTGTTCGGTACGCCTCCATCCGGCCATGTCAAAAAGTGGAACTGAGTAACGGTCCTAGTCTCTCCGGTTTTCAAGTTCTTCAGATAAAAGCTTCTTACTAAGTAATCATCACACCATATGTGTTCGCTCACCAAATGCACCTGAAATATAAATGCGAAAAGAATGGATACCGATATTAAGTAGGTACTTAAAAAAAATATATATATAAATATAAATTAATTCTATTCCAACTAACTGAATTAATTAAGTAGGCATACCTGCAAGTCGTATCCAGAATTTTTTTCGTGGGAGTAGGGTGTCCAAAAAATGTATATGTATATACATATTGTAATTTAAGTCAATATAGAATTTAGGTTTTGATGTTTGGACAAAAATAAGAATGCAGGGTTATTCACAGGGAGTAGGTAGGTATCTTGTGGGAGTGTGGACACAAACAGATAGGTACGAGACATAAGTCACGATCTGCCGAACATAATATTGTTAAAATAATATTTTTGATTTACTTAAATGTTATATTGTTTTGTTAATCCCCATCGGCATCGCTAGTGATCGTTTAATAACAATTTTTTATTATTTTTTAGGCGCTATAATAATATTTTAATAGGTATACAAAACAGTCAATAGTTAATTTATTTGGAATTTTAGCCATTTGTGGCTGAAAATATTTGTGTTGGTATTCAAAATAAATAATTATTTTATGAATTTTAAAATATTGATGAAATTTCGGGAGGGGAGGAATCCAGACCCCCAGGATCCTCCATATAGACATGGATTTGTGCCTTTGTATATCTACATAGTAGGTAGGTACATACTTATAGATATTAGATAGGTACCTATAATATTGTCTAAAAGTTTACCTCGTATATGTGATAGAGTTCCGATCCTTCTTCCGGCCAGTAACGGTGACACAACACCACATCGTTCTCAACCAGTCTGGTCAACATGACGATCACCACGCATCCTTGTTCCCACACCATTTGCCAAAAGTCAGCCGATGTCTCGGCTAAAGGTCCTTGTGTCGCAATGTACGCAGGGTTACGCGGATCGTGATCGGTCTGCACAAAATGTGAACGATAAACAAAAAAATGTAATCGCATAAAAGTTCGTTGATAGCAGTTGTATGGGATACCAAGGTGCTGTACATCTGCTGCAGGGGGARGGAGTTCAYACCCTTTGGTTTTTAGAACATATACAATATCTATACATATATATTTTAATATAACTCCTGCCCCCTCCCCACATAGATGTCCGTGAAACGCCACTGGGAAATACCCCATACAACATATTATTGAGAATTAGTACTCAACACCTATATACAGTATAAACCGTAGACAAATTAATATATGGACTGTGCGTTGGACTTTTATACAGGTTATATGGTTAGATACAAAGCATACGACAGGAAATGTATAGCTTAACCATTAACCTGCATCGGTATACGACAGGACTAGTATGCTAACTTTTTCTAAAATGTCGATGTCTTTGTTGACTTTTCTTTCTCACTATCAAGGCTGGATTTAGGAGAAGGYCCAGGTTTCGACACAGTGGATTTTTTTATATATATTATATCTTAATATAYAGCATATTATTACACCATAAATTTAAATCACAATAGGAATGTTTATATTGAATTAACTATATTATTAACAATTTATAGAAAAACGAATGCATAAAACGAGGTTAAGTTTATAATAAACTGTTAGGSACTCGTAGWGTATATTTAATATGGCCATTAATTCGGTATGGATTACAGATAAGTTATGGTTTTACCAATTTCAATTTTATTAGTTATAACTTATAATAAGTTATCTTAATATTATTTATTATCATTAATTTTTTAATTGTATTATATTCTTTCTGCTTTGCAGTAAATTGTAATACATTTAATACATTTAATAATTATTACGTTGTATACCAATATTAGCTGCTACATACAATTTGAAAAATAATGGCTGCTATTAAGTATAGGTCACCTCTCAACTAACAGTTCCCGGTCTTTGAACTGGGAAAAAAGGGCCAGCCCAACACCTAGATCCAGATTTGTTATTGGGTACCAGCCAACAGTCCATTTATTTGTTGGTTTATCGTTTATTTTAGGTATTCATTGATTGGACGTACTATTGTTGATGCGTTTATGTAGTCCGAGTTGTTCATGTTAGCGTACTCGTTGATTACGACTCTGGCGTGATCGTATGGAAGTGCGTTGATGTAACGATTCTTCTTGGCGTTGTCCGGCTAGACAACGATATATGAAAAAAAAATATTAATTAAAAATAACCGCCATGCGTGGCTGTGCTTAAAAACAGCTTGTTACAATAAATGTGGGCGTTAATATATATATAGTTACCTATTAGCTTATAGTTTTTATTTATTAATTTAAAAAAAAAAAACAATTTAAGTAAAAATCTTTTTTGCATACATATCAACTATATATCTAACAATTAAGCCTTTTTTTTGGTCAAATTATTTTAAATAAAAATAAATATATCCATATTCCTTGAATAGTAATTTTGTAGACAGTATATACCTTATAGGAAATCGGAAATCCTCTTATATTATATTTAGTATTCACAGTGATTGTAAAACTGGGGGGAGAA